TTCCTATGTGGAATGAGCTACAGAGGGTTTCATGGGTGCCATCTTGATTGCCCTTAGACTTTGACCCCTGCCTCTCTCTCCTAGCCAAGGATGGCATCTTTGTATCTCAGGACTTAACTCTTTGCCTACATGGAGGCCTCCTCTATCTTATTCCCACTGCCAGTCCTTGTTGTTGGCTACCCTGAGTATTTGGTGTCCCTAGCCGTGAAGCATCGTAGCTTTAAGGAGAAGTGTCTCATGTGGAGTCCCCCAGTAGTTCAGCACCATGTGCAGGTGCTGAAGCACCAAGGCAGGAGGGGGGCAGGAGGGCAGTGACCCATGGACAGGAGGTGCCATCCCAGTGTACCCAAAGGAGAAGAGCAGAGCACGTGTGGGGGTGGTGAGCAGGGCTAGTCCCAGCCCAGTGATGGCCACGTGGAGCTCATTGGCCTGAGGGACCTCCTGCTCCTCTGCCTCTGCTCACACAGCTGGCATGAGGAAAGGGACTCCGAGGGCAGGGCTGCGGCAGAGCAGCTGGGAGAGCCTTACAAGGAAGATCTTATAGAACCCTGATTCAAGCCTGGGCTTTGGCATCAGTGTCCTTGTCAAGGGCATCCTCCTTCGTTCCTCTTTGTCTTTTGTGGAGCTGCTTTGTCTTCTTCCAGCCTATCCCCACTGGGGTGGCCATCACCCTTTTGCGGAGACGCGCACTGAAGCCAACCTTGCCCTTCCCAATGCTCCTGCCCAGCTCCCTGGCTGCCCTCCTGAGCAAGGGCCTCATCCCTGCATCTGCAGCCTGCAAACACGGCCTCACACCCCCACCAATGAACATCTTCCTCCTCAAAAACACCTTCATGTCGACCACAGCCTTCCTATTCCTGGTCGGGACTGTGGCTCTTTCCTATGTGGTAGGAGCTGACCAGGGCTTCCTGGGTGTCATCTTCATTGAACATGGCCCTCCCCTGCCCACGGCCCCTCTGTATCTCAGTTCCTTGCTCTCTGCCCATGGGGAGCCCTCTTCCATCTTCTCCCTGTCACTCGATATGGTGGTGGCTGCTCTCACTCTTTACTCCCTAAAATCATGTGTCCCCTTATCCACGGCGTGATGTGGGAGGAGTTCCAGCATGCCTAAGCGGACTCGATGACTTCAGCAATAGGCTGCCCTGCTCCCCTCTCTAATGTCCCCGAGTTTATCTCATGTCATCCCTGTACTGAGTCTGTGTCACCCATGGTGCTCACTGTCTTGCACATGTTTGTGACCTTCCCACTGCTCCAGAGACGTGAATCTCATGTGACCCTCCTTTGGGTCTTTTGCAAGGGTGTCATGACTACATTAAGGGTGGCCTCCAGAATAAGCATATCCTTAATGACAGGTGATCTCCTGAGTGCTCCATGCAGAGGTTTGTCATGTCCTGAGGGCAGCAGCAGGTCCCTGGGGTGGCAGCTCTTGGCCTGAGGGATCTCTTGCTCCTAGAGCTCTGCTCCAGCAGAGCCAGAAGGGGGCCAAAAAAGCTGAGGGTGGGGCCGAAGTAGCTCAGCTGGGAGAGCGTTAGACTGAAGATCTAAAGGTCCCTGGTTCAATCCCGGGCTTCGGCAGACACTTCATGGCTTTTTGC